TGTGGAGAGTATTAAGCGGTAGGCAGCGGCTTGGCTCTGTCCTTGGCATTGCTGAAGTCCATGGGCGACGGTAACAACTCACCATCAGATGGGCCGTATGCTCGTCTGCCTACAAAGGCAATAAAAAAAAAATGTATGGTGTGCGATATTGTTGTGCTATGAGCTATATACTATATGCTATTATATTATAGCGTAGTCTGAAAGCGGCTGCATTGCTGACGTTCACGAGTGACTGTAACCATTGTAGGCCACTATCAGGTCAACCGTATGCTCATCTGCCTACCAGGGCAAAAAAAACTTATCACAGAAAAATATCAGAAAACTCTGTAATATTTATGTATAATCAAATAGTGTAAGAGTTTTGTTGTTTTTTTGTTTGATACATTATTCTATTCAATTTTAATATAAACTTTTTTTCAGGAAGGTCGTCAGTATCTGCTTTGGATGGCCTGGCGATAGGTAGTTAACGTTTTAGTTTTGGCAATTAAAAGCAGTGGTGTGTAAGCGATCTAAATCCTAATCTAACAATGAAAGTTAACAATTTCTTACACTTAGCATACGAGTATAGTGTTATATTCAGGAAAATAGTTTCCCAAACGTCCACTTATTTATGAAAAACCAATATATATATTTAAAGGGTTCACTGTATACATAAAACATTGAATAATGAACCTCAATCATCTATACTTCCCACTGATGAAATTTGTGAGATCTTTGAAATTGAATATCGATTTTATCGATACTTTTAAATTGTCTTTATGAATTTTAATATAGACGTTATGATTGCAATAATATAATGTTCGAAATTAAAATGTGAACCCGTTCAGTATTAGGTCCATTATACATAGTCGGTCGTAAACTATTTAACAATTTTAGTGCCTTAAAATTGTCTCTTAGTGCAGGATGACAGTACAGTTCATTAATACTGGAGACTGAAATAATTAGGTTTCGAAAGTTCCTACTAAAAAGTAAAAGTGTTCGTTGTACAAAAATTGTTAGAAGAATTAATTCGTTATTAGAAATATACCTTTACACTTTCCCTTCTTAAATGTTGAAATGGCAAACGCACTATTTGATTTTGAAAAAAAAAAAAAAAGGTAATGTTATCCAAAATTTTTACATTGAAATTATGTTCAAAATTTTAAACAATATGACCGACTTGGCACTTCACAAACACTTCTTACAAATTATCCTTACCACAGACTTGACTAGCTTCGCTTTACCCTGTTTCTCTCCCGGCGTAATCGCCTTAAAGACATTCATGCCTACTAACAACATTCCTGTATTTCCTCTACATCAACGTTTGATTTCCGTCTGCGCTATGTCAAAGCTCAGTAATGAAATTCGTTTTCAGTGCTTGAAAAAATTGTTGGAATTTTATTAATTTCTTCCTTAATTTTAAAGGTGTTAAAATTTAAATGATCTTGTTAGGTTCTCTCTCGCGTTTCCGTAGTAAAATTTTATTAGTAACACTACAAAAGCTTTTTTTTAATTGATAACCTTATAAAAGTGTAGTTGGTAGCAGCTACATTTCCCGTGAACACAAGTATGACGAAATATGCAATAATCGTTCTACCCTTTCTCACGTGTCCTTGTTTACTGTCCAAGTTATTTGATAGAATGAAGGATATGTAAATTGTGCTTTACCTTCAAATCGACAAAGATTTGATTTGCCGCTAAAATGTTTACAGGATATTTGTTAAGCAAGACAATCCTATTGAATTTGTTTACGTTGTTGAGAGAGGCAAATTTTGACTAGTGATTAATTAACTATATGGTGAAAGAATATTGAGAAGTACACGATAGCTATAACGATAAACTACTGAAGCTATTATATATAAAAAAAAACGTTTATTCTGACATAAAGTTAGCTTTAAATCATTAGTGTGGGGGAGAAACGAAAAATAACGTGATAAACCAACATAAAAGTGAAATATCTGACTGAGTTATGTTCGTATAAAATCAATAAGCCTTAAAACGCCTACTATAAATAGTCGCTTTGATATCTAAGAAAATAATCTTGTTGTGTCTGTACAAGAGATAGACGATTTATTTTTCGTTTTGTAAACATTCCTTTCACAAGAAATATGTTGTGCGAATAAAATTTTGTTATTACATTTAACGACAGTCTGAAGTTAAGCAAAGAAATGTGTTAGTAATCTAATGTAAATTATTTCAGCTTACTATTGTGTGTGTATTATGATGAATGAAATTAATATCTGACCGAGTTTTTATTATATGCTATTTATTCTAAATCGAAAGTGTCAAGACTACTATTGACGATTATATAGATTTACATAAATTGATTGATTCCAATATTATATACTATATATTTTTTTGTCTTTTTTTCTTGCACTATATCTAAACACACATATGTTTTCTAATTTACTAAAAATACATGTACCTACTTAATCTTTATTATCTTACTATTCACGTATGGGCTATTCCAAAGAATTTATCCACCTACAACAGTACTGTAAATAATCCGTTCGTCTATGAGATGTAAAATTAACTATGTACCTATATACTGACATTTTTATCAATTTAGAAAGTTCAAATTTCGTTAACCAGCAATGTAACGCGAAGGTAGACTCGGCGGTCTCTCTAAAACTGGGTAGGCCAGATTATGTTTACGGCCTAAAAAAAGTAAGACATGAAATGGCGCGTCATATAAACTTTTTTTTTAAGATTGACGGATTACAGGTGGCCCGGAGGCCTTTCCAGTTTTACCAGGACAGGTGGGCGAGCAAAGGCTCAGCCAGAAGGGGTGAGATTTGCTAACAGCTGCCCGAGCGCCTCCGAAGGAGACTTAACAACTCAAGAGCAACTGCTTCGCGAATGAATCTACTACCGGATCGGAATCGCGACCCACTGAGAAGATTCGGTGAGAAACTCAGCGGGCTGATGCATGGGTTAGGTTGCAGGTCGAACTCTTTGCCGAGTTCAACGGGTACGGTTACCGCGGTCCCTAAGCCTGCTCCTAGTATTAGAGCTGAAGGCGTCACATAGAAACTAAACTTCATCAGTACCTATTCATGGAATAATACAGCTGTTATTACTTTTACATTTTAGTGAGAATTGAAGTTTAAAACAAAATATATCTTAATATGATTTTAATTTTCACTTTTTTTACAGCACGATCTTAAATACGATCTTCGGGGAGCACTAATAGGAGGTTCGTTATGTGGATTATACCCTCAGCTCTAGAAGGAAGATTCTGATCACTGCTGATTTTGAATTATTTGTTTCATAGCGCGGAATGCTAACACAATTTAAAAAAAACGTGATTTCTGGTTTAAGCCTATGTCTATTCGTATTCCGGAGCAGTTTGAAGAAGCCCCGTATAAAAATGATAAAAGAATTGAAAAACGTCTACCGAACATTCCAAAAGGAGCAATTGCCCGAAAAAATATGTTTTTGCGGCGGTCTTATTTAAGGAGCACACACATATATTGTATCGACGAATATACATTGATTTGTGTATAAAATTTACTTAAGAAACCTAAAAGATTATCAGTTTTTTTTTTAAATTTAATACCAGGGAATTATTGAGGATCAGAAGACACAAGTGATATACATCACTTGTAGCTCCTGCCACTCCATATAACTTCCACATCACTCATTAACAGTGTGCTTAGTGCGAGTTTTTTAACGTTCTCGCTGACGTAAAAGTTAGCTCATATTTGTATGGAATGGGATCGTTTGCGTACGTTTGCCGCTAGGGGCGCTGTTCCAACTGCATACAAATTCGAGTTAACTTTTACACTATCGAGAACGTTAAAAAACTCGCACTAAGCACACTGTTCCAACATGAGATGGAAATCCTAATTTCCCTACCGAGTTCTACCTCTGGTTCCTATCTTGGGTACTGGATACCAGCTAATATTGTTTAGAGCTTGCTTAGTGTTGTCGCAAAATAATCCATACGTTTCGATTTGAATGGCCAGATAAATGTTCTAATGCGTTTGAAACCTCCATTTAACGTATCAAGGTTGTCGGCGATGTCCGCACTGTCTTGTCTAAGGGCTCCATCACACCAACCGAACCTCAAACTTATCTACTAATCTAAGCTATTAAAAAGAGTTACATAATATAATAAGAATTGTAGTAATCTATTATTATTTTTTTGGATTTTCTTTTTTTTTCTCAACTACATTATCATATTTCGATTATTATTGAATGAATAGGTAATAACTACGAATAATATCGAGTCCTGTTCATAGCCTAACGATGTCTCGATTGTGTTCTGACGACAGAAGATTGTCGTACGAAACGGCTCTGGAGTCCTATATCCGGGCACATCCGGCTGTTTCCTTTTTCCTTTCGCTTACTCATATCCTATTCTGCTGTCCTTTAACTCAACCCACAACGACATTTTAACAAACTTGTTTTTTTTTTCTTTCTTTCATGAAAACGCTCGTTTTTTGTTCGCCGAGCCCGTAAATTTGTGAGGAGCATTAAGAATGTTTTATTAAATACCTTCAAAGTACGTAATTTGATAGGCAGACTAATGATATATCTCACGTTTAAAAGAAATATTTACGACTAGCGACCCGCCCTCGCTTCGCTTCGGAAACATTAAATTTTATTATTAATAGGTAGCTTGAGTCTCGCGACGTTACCCACGGTTACTGTCGTACCGCGAGTGACGACGCGGGGTGAAGCTAGTCTAAAAAATTAGCCTAAGTTACTCCTTATATCATCAGCTACCTATCAGTGAAAGTCTCGTCAAAATCGGTCGAGCCGTTCCAGAGATTAGCCGGAACAAACAGACAGACAAAAATTGTAAAAAATGTTATTTTGGTGGTGTATGTATCGTATATATATTCATACGCATGCAGTAAGAAGCGGTTATTTCAATATTACAAACAGACACTCCAATTTTATTTATATGTATGTATAGATTATTAAATTGAATCGTATTCCAAGAATTAGATTTTATGTTGTTAGTTCTTGAGACACGTTTACGGTGATCGATCAGGTCCTGGATGCGATTTAAACGCATGTGTCCTTTATCTCATCAGTGGCGGGCGGTACTCCGGCGACGGACAATTTGCGGCGCGCGCGCGTCACTGGCCGGTAGTACTGCTCGCTGCGCCGCCGTCAGCGTTCCGGCACTGGGGTAGCCGTCTCGAGCTCCATCCAAAGCGAACTGATCACCCGGGTATCTGCGCAAAAATAACTTATTATAATAAATTTACACTAGTGGTCCCCGCAGTAATCGAAATTCGACTATAGTTAATTGAAATTAAAAATTTAAACATTATTATGGTTCTATTGTCAAACAATATTATACTTCTATAATAATGCAGATATTAATATATTCTATACTAGCGGCCCGCTCCGGCTCCGCTCGGGTTTTTAACAAATATTTCAACCTTAATTGACGTTGTTTTATTTTTTTAAATAAAATAACACCTATTATGGCATAGCTATAATAGTTAGACATATGCTGTCGCGACACTTTTTGTAAATAATAATGTGTTCTACAAAGTCGTAGTACATTATTTTATTCTATTATCAATACCTAATAGTTTTCGCAGTGCACTCGATGTATTGGAGTTTTAGTAAGGATCCCTAATTTTTTCAAAAAACATTATTGCCTATGTCACTCAAGAATAGTGTAGCTTCCAAACAGTGAAAGAATTTTTCAAATCGGTTCAGTAGTTTCAGAGCCTATTCAATACAAACAAACAAACAAATCTTTCTTCTTTATAATATTAGTATAGATAATACAGATTTCGCCAAAACTACACTATATACAAATAATATTAAAGACAAAAAATATAAATCTTTTCTCAAATTGACCACAGACTTTAAACAATAACAAAAATTTCACAATTGACAATATACAAAGAATATATTTGTGTGTTGTGTGAAATACATGGTAGCGTGTGTAATGTTTTCTTTATTGATTTGATGTATTTTTTATGCATTATTTAAAAAATATATTAGCATTCTGCACTTCTTCTCTATGTTCCCTGTAAGTGTGGAAAATTTTATACTCCTGCGTCCGCGCAATTTTCGTAAAAAGGTGTACAAAGTTTTTGTTTCACGTATTATTATATAGATATCGTCGCTGTGAAACCAAAATCTGCTATGTGCAAAAACTCTATTTTGAATTAACGAGTAAAAACATTTTCGTATAAAATTTTATATGAAGGTGAATTTTTAAGAACTATATCAAATGAAAGCTATAGATAAATATTAAAGCTATAGACACATAACAGTCTTTTTATACGGTAGATAGGACTGTGAACTATACGAAAAGATCAAAAAGTAAAAATCTCAAAAAGTGCACATAGCAGATTTTGGTTTGACTACGACGATATACAACTTATATATTATTATATCGATGCGTTTGATGTTCTGTGATAGTAATAGTAAATAGAGACGCTTCATAAAACAGGATCACAAATTGCTGCGAACAGAAATTGATCAGCGAGCTTCTGTTAATCAATATCCCGACGCGTTGATACGTACATACACTCGTACAGCGAGAGAAACCGGCAGAGTGTGAAAACTACGCCCGAAGCAAACCGAAATGGACCAATTCGATTTCCATAGCAATCTAGTAAGTTCACACGTAGCTCTGATAAATACTTCTTCAGACTTCACATAAGAGACTTCACTATTACTGCTGGTAGGACCTCTTGTGAGTCCGCGCGGGTAGGTACCACCATACTTGAGGATACTTGAGACCTTAGAACTTATATCTCAAGGTGGGTGGCACATTTACGTTGTAGATGTCTATGGGCTCCAGTAACCACTTAACACCAGGTGGGCTGTGAGTTCGTCCACCCATCTAAGCAATAAAAAATAATAATAATAATAAGGTATAAAATTGATAACTTATTAGTTCTGATACATAAACACACACTCGTAGTAAAAAAAGTGAGTTTTTTTGCTTCAACACAAACTACTTTGCTTTAGGGGTACATATTTCCTTAGATGTATACTGTAGATCTCAATAGGGGAAGTCGTATGTTGTTGCAGTCAGTGTTGCTAAATGTAGAAAATCCAAAATTGTTATTAACGATATGTACATAATAATATGTATATCCATTTTTGTATAATAAATTTTCAAAATTCTTTAATTAATAAGCCGTTTAAAAGCGATAGGTGTGTAATATGATAGCAAACGAATATACAATTATTCATGATTGTCTTGTAAAAAATGCTAATTAACATTGTATCGTATCCACTACAGTATGCTAGACTTAAATGTGTATTAAGAACTTATGTATGCAAAATCGTCCAAAGGGTTATTCGTATAGGTACATTTCCCCGGCACAAGGCCGGGATTACCTTAGGAATAAGTTTTAATAACCGCGAAACTAAGTTTGATTATATTATTATCCCTATTCAGTTCTGATTATTTCCACCGAAAAGCGAACGTATTTTCTGCTTTGAGAGATTGAATACAAATTAAACTTTATTCTTTTAAATTAATTATTAATTAAAACACAAATAAAAAGAAATTATAGAACGTAGATAAGCCGCAACCAGAGTGATAAATCACCACAGACAATAAGAATGTAGGTATTTTCATGTTCCTGACGAAAATTAATCTATTAATGAGTTATTGAGGAAACATATACAATAAAACAATAAAGCCACAATTCTACACAAAACGTAATTCTTTTAAGAGACGAAAAGTCTATTATTAGTAAAAAACTAATTCTATAAATTTTCAGCTGACATTGAGAGCGCGTCATTTACTGGTATTTGCTCGTATTTCATAAAACGAATGTGATCTTCCGATAATAAACCGAGGGCAATGCGTTTTGACGGGGTTCCATTTAATATTATGATAAATAGTTCAAAGATAGTGTGTATGTGTTTTAAAAATGTTGACGGCAATCGATCTTATGGTATAAATTCAACAAATTCTAGAATTCTATTTACAAATTCATCCAATTGAGATGTTTATCAATGGAGCTGTCAGTATAAAAGTGTTTTGTGATAGTGTTAAGTATAAGGCAATGCATAAATTTTTATTCACAATTTAAGCTTTCTTACTTTACATTGTTAACATAAAATGAAAATCATCAGGAATTTTGTGCATTATGATAATGGCTCGGTTATCAGTTCTATGTTTGATTTGACATAATAATGTTGGATGTTATTGGAGAGATTCTAGATGATCCGCTTTTTCTTATATAAAACTGCTTCTACCTATATAATAAGTACGCTCCACTCACCCAACAACGATCCACTACGCACATTTATCTTACACACACGTATATCAGAATTTCTAGGATATCTGTCTATACCCAGTATGTCTTCCACTAAGGGATTCAATTGTAGACGACCGTACGGCCTGTCTGATGGTGAGTGATTACAGTCGCCCATGGACTTCAGCCATGCTAGGGACACAGCCAAGCCACTGCCTACCATTAAATATTCTCCACAAGCCTCATTTGAAGAAGGAAATATCATAGCGCTCGGGAAACACCGCGGAGGAGAGCTCTTTCTAAAGCCGGATGGTACATGGCGAAAAAGATCTCTGGAAACGCACTGTGCATGAACACAGTGGCTTCAGGTAGTATGGATGAACTCTACTCCGGTGGCGGGCAGTGCGATGGTAAAAACGAAATGATGGGATTAACTCAAAACTTTAACTAAGAGATTCACTGGCCATTGAGATTTCGATCCCATGTTGGGAGGATCCCCTTAGGACAGGTGGTTCTTTGTCTATGGGCTTTAGTAACCACTTTACACTAGGTGAACCATGAGCTCTTTCATCCATCTACTCAATAAATAAACAAATTTTGAGATATCTTCGGTTCGAAACCACAAAATTCCGGAATGAACTAAAACCGGCACATTTTGCTCGAAGAAGCTGTTTTAAAGGTGGTTTAAGGAGGAACCTCCGTAGTAGCCTGAGATTCCTATAAATACAGCGAGCGCTCACAACTAGATAGGATTTACTTATCTGCCTCCCAAGAAAATAAATAAAAAAAGTTTAGAATAAAGTTTTTTTTTATGTTCATGCAAGCTGTACTAAATAAGAATATTGCTGGTTGGAGTATAAATTTCTTAATACTGGTCATCGCTCAATTATCGTTATACGATCATAACCATTTATTCGACCTGATATCGATATTTTGACGAAAAAAGCTGACAAAAAACTCTTATAAAAACACAAAGTTCGTCAATCTTTGCTAAAAAAAGAAAATCCTTTAACAAACCGAAAAAAAAATTGTTACCTAATTGCTTGTGGTCTTTGTTTGTTTATATACAGAATTTAACTCCGGCATTGAAAATGAACAAACTGTGGAATATCACGTAATCACATTATGAGTTCCGTTGTGTATTCATTCAGTCCTCCCCCAATGTTAGAAATCGATAACAATCATTAAGCCTAGTCATCGGCCGTTAAGTGCGTTGCGAAAGCTGTTATAATTAGTTTCGTCATGCAGAATTACGTTTAGCTCATAAACAGCGTCGTGATTTCATTATTTTTGAATAATATGAAGAATTTTAACCGGACTTCGGCGCGTGCGGGTTAGAATCACTACCTCGGAGGCGACTGAACAAATCATTAATGTGCTCTGTTTAAAAAAATAGAAACAGAAACATATTTATAGCACACAACTCTGTTTGATTTATTAGAATATTTATCTTGCGAAAAAAATAGAATTTGCTATGAAAATCTCAATTCGTAAATATGCCTAAAAACAGTTGTACTCGTGATTTACTGTTTGTGAAGAATTCGAAGCAAAGGAAATTAAAAATCGTATGTAATAAATGAGAAATCGAACCGCAAAGTTATGAGGTTTTTGTGATCGTACCACATTAAGGTTATCATTCGACAAAATTTATCTACCTATTTAACTGCCTTACCTTTACGTTAGTTGGACTACCTGTGTTCATTAATCATGTTAACATTTTTTGGAAACATAATGTGTTTCTTTAATTGGCTCATGTTTGTGAAAACATCCTCTGTACCTTGTGTCTAGTTAAATGCTGTTGAAACATTGTTGATTAAATAAATAAATAAATAAAAGTGAATTATATTATAACGCTATACATGTAACGCTGGTCGAGATGAGATTTCCTAGCATTGTCGCTAACAATCGTTTGGACCTTATAATCCATTTAGCAATTTTACTCTCTTATTCTTCATCACCAAATCATTTTTCTCTTAGTTTTTGTTATTAAG